GCTTTAGTATGGCATTAGATTTCAGAATAATGAGGAGGCGGAGAAGTTTATGTACCAGCTCGCTGAGGAAGTTGGTCGACGGCTGGACAAGATCGATATGAAGGGCCGTTCGATGACCGTAAAGATCATGAAACGTGATTCCAAAGCTCCGGTGGAACCGCCGAAGGTATGCCTCCCGCACATATTCTCTGAAACCTCGCTCATAGCAGGACAGTTCATGGGACATGGCGCCTGTGATATATTCAACAAGCAATGTACCCTGATAGTTCCCAGAGGACAAGCGACAAGTGACCCTCAAGTCATCGGCGAACAAGCCTGGCGAATCCTTAAAGCCTTCAATTTCGAACCCAAAGAACTCCGTGGTATCGGCATCCAGATTCAGAAGCTTGAGAGGTGTTCAGCGGCAGCGGAACCGGAGCCTGGGCAGGCTAAGCTACAATTCCAACGCCTGAACGGGCCATCTAAGACTATGGATACCGAACGACAGGAGGGGAAGACTACAGAGGAAGACGATGATATTTACCAGCTTCCGCCCAAAAATACTCCTATTCCTGCCGTTATCGTGGACCCGGAAAAGCGGAAGCCAGCTGACGCACCCTTCATCGACCTACCATCGTTTTCACAAGTTGACAAGTCTGTTTTTGATGCTCTGCCAGACGATGTTCGCCAGGAACTCGAGCGAGAATACAAGCGGCGGTCAAAGTCCCCTGCTCCGTTTCTCATACAAAAGCGCACATCTCGTACTCCGTCCGTCGGACCCTCAGTCAAGTCGGCGTTGAGGATCACGGTCAAGGGTACTAAGCCTGTTGACGTCAAGCGTATAACGAAGCAGCTCGCTCCTCGGAATAGAGCTGTCCTATCGCCAGCCAAGAACAAGCTGTTCGGAAAGCGAGACACAACCGGTCCCTCTTTGGCGAAAGTATCAGATGCGGAGCTTAAGAAGCTTGGCCTGGATTCCGACGTGTTCAGCATGCTCCCCGCGGATCTGCAGCGCGAGCAGCTCGCAGGCGCGCGTCAAGCCCAACACGTCGGCAAACTGTCCCTCAAGGTCCCGCTCAAGCCTCGCCGCGTCACCCGCTCGCCTACCGTCAAATGGGTGCGCCCGCCGTTTCCGAAAGCAAAGTACGTCCCGCTGCCCACCTTGAAGCAGCAGGGCAGGACCAAGGGGGATAAGTTGTACTTTATCGAGACGGACGACGTGCAGAACGTGATCGAGAAATGGGTGGAGGGCTTCCGCGAATATCCGCCGAACCAGCAGGATGTGGAATATTTTGCGAAGTGGTTGGTGCGGTGTGTGGAGACTATGCGGGGTATGGAACGCGCGCTGGATGTGGCAAGGTGGTGGCTGGTTTTGCTGAGGAGGTATTTTGGTGTTTGGGAGGATTGCGGAGAGGATGAGGCTGGAACGGTAGAAGAAGGCAGGGTTACGTCACAGATGATTGGGAAGGCGTGGTGGAAGGCTTTTAGGGAGGTTAAGGAGAAGATGGACGCGGTTGCACGAAAGAAGTACGGCGGATGCTTGTCACTGAAGTAAAGTGCACAAGATTTTCGTCCTGTGCAATTATTATTAAGTTATTCAATCCTTCCCCATATGCCGTCTCCGCACGTATAGCCAATATCAGCTACCGTCACAGAGGAAGATCATGTACAGAAGTTAAATTATAATGCGATGCTCGCAGCTGGCTTTACGCCTATAGCCAGGAGTGCCTTCCCGTCTATGCCGTGCACTTTGAAGTTCGCGACTTGCTCCCAATCAAAATCTGTCAACCCTTGCTCCTCGAAGATGACCTTGAGCTCGTCCGGTGCGTAGCCGTGGTGCGAGGAGACATGTTGAAATTGTTCCGGGATGATGGCGCGACCCGACTCATCCTTCAGGAGGTCTGCTACCATCAGGCGTCCGCCTGGCTTAAGGAAGCTGACGAGGATACGGGTGGTGTCGTTGATATCAGCGAAGTGGTGGTATGCCATGGAACACTGTAGACGATACCATGAAGTCCGTTCACAGAGCAAAATTTGGATACCCATTTCTTACCACTATCACATCGAATTTGATGCTGTCAAGCTCTCCTTCCTCACCCTTGAGTTCTATTCGGACAGCTTGCATCTCCTCGGGTGGAATACCCTGGTTGGATACACGCAGGTTGTACTGGTTCACCATACCCTGGCTGATGTCGACTCCTACGATCTTCTTGGTGTACGGTGCCAGGCACCTCGAGGCCAAGCCTTCATGACCGTCCTTCAGAAGGAGCTCAGCCGTACTCATAGAGGACATAACTCACCCGTCCCACAAGCATAGTCCATAACTGTGGTGCTATTCTCATCGAACTGGTACTTCTTCAGTATCGCATCGCCGATTTTCGTGGTGAGCTGTACAGCTCCTGGCAAGTCATCGTACTTGGCAGCATTCTCGTCAAAGTACTGCTGGTTGAATTCAACCAGGCTTTGGTTGTGGCGATGAGCATGCTCGTGTCCGTGCTGGTGGCGGTGTCCACTAGAAGCAGCGTCAGACATGGTTATTTGTGCGGTCAATACGGATCTAGCACAAGTGCATTTTATAGCTCAGGTGTTCTAACTAGAGTTCCGAATCCAGGTCTAACTGGTTTCAATCATTGGCATCTGACACCACACTCTATATAGCAGCAATTGCAATGTTGCATAAGACGCCCAAGGAGAATAGTAACGAAGCACCCTGTACGACTGGTGCGGTACCCACGTCTGCCGTCGGTAAAGGTTAGTAATAGATGGGAGCGGCAGGGCACCCGTGCGGTAACAGATACGCGGTTTGTCGAGCTCGGAATAGCAATGTGCCGGGCTAGGATTGGTGGTACATGAGCATTCGTGATTCTAACATCAGTCGCACGTAGATACAAGTCTGGGGTCCCCAGCCCTCATGCAACAGGAACTAGATCCTGCACCAGCACATACCGGTACTTGGCGTTCCCATTCTTCACGCCCTCCACTGCCTTCTTGACGTCCTTCATGGGCAGCTCCTCAATCCATGGCTTGATATTCTTCTCTGCAGCGAGCTTGAGCATCTCCACACACTCCTTCTTGCTGCCGAGGTGACTCGACCCGAAGAAGGAACCGTTGCGGATGAAGCTCGTTGGCTGGATGGCCGGGAAGGGGTCACCCGCAGCGGGCAGACCAACAGCGACGAACTTGCCGTGGACGTAGAGCGTCGAGAGGAACTGGGATAGTGGCATGCTGGAGGCTTCGTTCCGTGTGGAGATGATGATGTCGAGTTTGCGCGCGTAGGGCTTGGCAAAGTCCTGCAACAGCGTGGCCATGAGACAACACAGCAGAAGACCAGAAAAGGTATCATACGGGATCACTGGTGTGGATGATATGGTCCGCACCCATCTTCTTAATGTCTTCGTCTTTCGAAGCGCTGTGCGTGAACGCGTAAACCTCTGCTCCTAGGGCCTTCGCGAACAAGATGGCGTAGTGGCCCAGTCCACCGATACCGACGACACCCACTCTCTTGCCTGGGCCGCAGCCATTGGACACGAGAGGCGAGTACACTGTCAGACCGCCACAGAACATTGACGCTGCGTCTGCGGATGAGACGCCGTCTGGGACGGGGAAGACGAAGCGCTCGTTGGCGCGGATGGCCGTGGAATAACCACCTTGGGTTTGGATGCCATCAGAGTATTGGTGGTTCTGTCCATACACAGGTTAGAGACGAAGCGCGGGAAGTTGAGACGAGACATACGTAGGTCCAGATGAGGTTCTGGCAGTACGTCTCATAGTCTTCGGAGCACTCTCTGCACTGCAAACAGGAGCTGACTTGTGCGCCGACACCCGCTCTGTCTCCTACTTTGATACCCGTAACCTTCGACCCGACCCGAGTGACCTTGCCGACAATTTCGTGGCCTCAGGGTGAATGAGCAACCGAGTCCATCTACACTTGACAACCACAAACTGACCCGCAATCAGGGGCAACCTGGCCTGGCCCCAATCCTGGCACAAGGAGTGCACATCCGACGCGCAGACGCCACAGTGAGTGATGGCGATCTCGACGTCCGTCTCCTCGAACTTCTTAGGCTCGAATGAAACAACTTTAAAGTCACTCCAATTGGAGGCATCTGCGCGAACCCGCTGCTGTCAATAGACCACCCTTGAAATCCGCCGGGGATGATGGGACGCACCAGTCATGGCATATCCCTTGAACTCGACTTGGCCAGACATCTTTGCTGCTGGGAGAGGATGAGCTAAGGGGTTTAACACGCTCTCTTCCTCCTCAATTCCTTTGTACCCCTCATTCCCACCAGCTCACTCAGCATCGCCGGCATTTTCGCCGTCGATAATTGGCCGCGATAACTGATACACTATCTTCCCATCGGGCGAAACATTGTACCGGCGGAATTCGGTCTCGTCAGTACAGATCGCAATGTATCGCAGCCTCAAGCACTGGATTTGTGTCAAAAAGAATGAGATGAAAGTAGATCTTGTGCGTACTGAGGCCTGAGGTCGATACTACAGAATTAATGCATGTGACATGGTAAGCACGTGATGTATTTCAGTCAACATTGAAAATCTCGTATATATAGCCGGCGACATCCGACGAACACGAGCGAACACGACAGTACTCACATTTATCCTCTTCGACCATTGTCGCCGTCTTAACATTCATCGACGACTGCGCAGTATGCATTGGTATTCAGTCCCGGAGCTCTGAGGCAATTCTTAGTATGGCGGGTGGATATCGCAAGGACGGGACTAGGTACGCCCGTTTCGCTGGCACGTATTGATTACTACTTATATTCTTGCTACTAAGTATCTCCACATGCCTACCGGGGAACGGCGATTTCCTACAGGACAATGAGTTTCAGCCGTTTCATACTTCTCGTATCCTGGCTCTGTTTCCGCTACACTAGTGGGCGTGCCCCTTACTTCCAATCCAGGCTGTAGACAGTAGTGGGAAACTGGTGGGAATTGCGACTTCAATCTATGAATAATGTTGATGGATGATGGTGTTTGCTTTTGGAGGACACGTCCTAGAACCCGTAGCTCAGAGGTAGAGCGTGTGATTCCAGTTCTGGTATATCCGCAAGGTCATCCGTTCAATCCGGGTCGGGTTCACTCTGTGTTAAAGGCGTTCTGGTTTTTGTCGCTTTGCTAACCAACAGACAGCGTTATCCATCGATCATCCTCGGTATTTACCAACTGAGCCTAGTCGCGGTCGTCTGTGAGGCGATGGTTTCGTTTATTTTTCCATCCCATCTACATGCTCCTTTAAATTTAATGGTATAGACAATACCCATGCGACGATTATAACCTTAGAAACTAAGCGTTTGCACAGATGGAATCTTTCATATATATGAATTCTGTCTCCGGGAGCCATCTGACTAGAGCAAGACTACAGATCCGATCCCAAGTCTCTTTGAATTTGTACCTGGAAATAATCGTGCAAATGCGAGCGACCGAAGACACCTGGACACCGAAGGCTTCGAACCTTGCACCATGCTCTATCTGGCAAAGGTCAATGAAGTACGAAGTCCGAGACAGTATGACGCCGTGTAGAATGTCCGAACCTGGAACACCCCAAATCATGGAACTTGTTAGCAACTCATGGGCAGACAAGCACAGCGCTAGCGGTCGATAACACGGAGAATGGGTTTCATATCGTGGAGGCATTGATAAACGACTATACTGCAGGAAGTACCGTGTATGCTGCAGATTCTGTTAGACAGGGCGCGACTGTATCATATATCCATGTATTTGTCTGCGGTGTCAGATATTGCCACCACACCAAGCTGCCAAACTATGAGTGATACTGAACACGAGGGTACAGGATGTCCACTTGCCTGCAGCCAAGATAAGATACCACGTCCTACTGGCTCCTTGGTCTAACCACTCATTCTTGAAATTTTCGCTTGCGAAGAACTCCCAAGCCGTTCGAGGGTCAACCAAGGCATAATTTGCGTACAATATTCCCCTCCAGCCCCCTTCTACCTTGTCGACGCGCCCTCCTGAGAAATAGCGGGACCACTCTTCCTGTACAAATTTGCTAGACCGAATATACGGCGAGATGGGAGAGACAGGTATCATGTGGATGCCTTGGATGAACTGAGTCTCCAATCCGAAGTACGTGGCGTGATCACATTTGTTCTCGAAAAGCTGTACAACATACGCACCCTCAGTCGAATTAGGGGAAAAGACCAGTATGTGGCGACGTACGATTCCAGTGACTTTGTTCTTCACAAACCTCGGCGGCTGATTGACATTCGAGTTCTCCATCAAAAAGTAGTTTCGAAATACACGTCGTTGAATAGCTAGCATGAGGGTACCTCGAGCTTCAGTGGCCTTGTCACCGGTTACTGTGCCCCACAACTTGAGCGCGTAAGAGAAGTACGCATCTTCCGATGTCGATTCTTGGTCCTTGCCATCTGCAGACTCGAACAGTCCCTTCGCCCAACTGTGACCGTGGAACCAGTCGAATGCACGGGAGACCGGAAAGTGTACATCTTGCTCGCTTGGATTCGCTGCCTGATGGTCATTAGTTTCTGCACGACCACGACGCCAGTCAGCATGATACTTACATCCCGGACCAGGTCATCAATAAAGTCGCGATGAGCGTCCAACCAGGTAGTGGTGTTGTATAACTCCTTATCTAGACGGGCAACAACGGCAGCGGCATGGACGAAATATCCGTAATGGAAATGATGATCATCTAGAGTGGATCAGTCAAGTATATCGAGTATCCACGTCCTGAATGCGTACTGTAGCATCCATTACCAAAATCACTCATCAAGTCCCCGGTCTTGTATATCGCTGTCGTCACGAGCCCCTTCCAAACGCCTATCCGACCTGCTTAACGGCGATGCGCTCAAGGGTGCGATTTCGAATACCTTACCATCGTATGCGAGAGGAAACTTCTGGCGATTTTCAACGAAACGCGCCAATGCATCTCGGACTTTTTCCAGGAGCGCGCCTACAAGCTCCGCGTCCTTCAGAGCCTCCCATGCTGCCCACGCCAGACACGCGAACTTGTCCACCGCTTTGCCGCTGAAATACATGCTATCCAGATCGCTCTGCTGCGCGGCATCCTGTTTGCTTTCCTCGGTCGCGGTCCGGCGTATGATTTGCTTTGCACTTGCGCTGAGACCTTCCAAGGCAGAACTACCAGCCAGATCAATAGGAGAGAACCCTACGGTCGAAGACAGATCGGTCTCCGTCATGACCCAGCGATCCGACACGATGGCGGTCATGAATCCTTTCGTCGTAGACTGCAGCCCCATCCGGGACTGCACGTGCGAAGCCGTGTGTCTGTCGAACGACTGAACGTGGTGGGGAAGAGCATACATCAGAAGCCGAGTCGACGCAGAGCCCGCCTTGACGTAGTCAAATGTGTAGGTAGCACTATCGCCGCCCACCGACCCTGCGATAGACATACCTGCAGGCCAGGCCCCGGTACACGCATCGGTGACCGCCTCCAGCGGGGGCGCCTCTTCAGAGATTTTGGTCAATTGAATGGCACCGGTGAAGCGACTCGATGCTTGGAGGCGAGAATTGTTTGATAACTTCAAGGTGAAGCTTTCCCCGTTGAAGCTATGGGCGTACAGCAGCCACGTCCTCCCGTCTTCTAGTAGGAGCCGCCATTTCGAAACCCCAGGCGTAGCGTGTGTCTCTTGCCGCACTTGGTGGAAGAACACACCAGACTCAAATTGGGGCGTGAGATCAGCGTATATCCCGGTGATGAATCCGCACCCCTGCAGCAGGGGAAACGTGATACGCCGCCCATGCTCCCCCGGACCAAGATGGAGCCTCAGGTTGACAGAGAACTGGGTGGGGGAGTCCAAGGAGATGTAAGACAGCGCTGGGGTGAACTCCGCCGCAGAGAACGTGAACGACTGGATCCCGATGGGGTTGATGTAGTATTGCACCGGATCGGCGGAAGGATCAGGTCCATACGCCTGCACCCATAGTCGAGCCGCGTCCCCTCAAAAGTGACAGTGCACACCTTTTGGTTCCGCTCGACATGCGACACGCTCAAGCCCCAACTGCGCAGGAGCCCCGCGTTTCCTCTGCTCCACCAAATGCTGAAGGGGTGGAGCCAAACGCCCTGGCTTTGTGACCCGAGGAACAGATTCGCGTAGAACTTGTTTGTCTGGAGAGGGACCTTGTCGCTCACTTTCAACGATTTGGGGCGCACGGGGTGGTTGGTATATACATCGAACAGTGGCACATCCGTTGAGATGGGAGTGAAGATATCGTCGACGGCGTCCATTCTGGGTACGATGCCCTGGAATAAAGCGGCGTAGAGGACGAGCAGCAAGGATAGTAGCCAGAGCCAGTATTTTCTTACGACAAGGTGCGGCAGTATGGATTACAGGTAAGTCCAAGAATAACGGTGACGATCGGTAAGCAAGTGAAGTGCTGAGTAGCCTATCCCAAAGAGACCTGGGACTTGGTTGTTAGAAAGACTCCGGACCAGGCTCGGACAAGAAGATCGTGGGAATCCGTTTAGCGCGCCCAGAACGCATTCAAGAAGAAGTTAGCTTGAAAGAAAGAGAGGTTGTATATTGGTCACACCGCTATGTAGCTCGCTATTCACTAACACCATCTCTGCACCAGACGAGACAGAAGACAGAATGTGTTCCTAGCAAGCGTCCTCCACAGATATCTCGGGGCCAGTACGTGGAACTTTGCCAGGGAAAACGCATTGACAGCCGACGATACACAGCGTAGCCACGCAATAAGAGAAACAAAGAGCACACAGCTTTGGAAAGACCGCGCCAGGTAGGTCACGCTTCTACCCGCTCGAAAATCTTATATCATCGATTCTGCAAAAGAAACTCACCGTACGGAGGCAATAGCAGTGCAGCAGTAATTCCATCCAACTCAGGATAACGGTGTGACATGGATGTGAGCTCCTGGACCATGTCTCCTATCAAAGTGCGACGGGTGTACCCGCCGTCCGGGTCACGGCGTGATCCAGGTAGTATCCTTTTCAACTAGTGGGCTGAAACCTGCCAGTGCCCTCCGAGGAGTAACAATATCATGTGCATGTGAAACCTTCTACTGCTCCCGGAGCCTCTGCCACCACTGTCCTACGCAGACGACCCTTCGTCAGACAGGCCAGGTACGGGAATTACTTCGCATATCGATAAGAAGTATCATGATTCACGGCGCGAATTCAGAACAAGAACGCTATGCGGAGAATGCAAGCGCGGCGGACCGCTAAATGTAATGACCACGCGCGCTTGTCCTCTTTCTAGGCATATATGGTTTTTTTTCTGGATCAGTCGGGCTAGCGTAGCGCGACGCTTTCGTTTCCCATCATAGAGATACAAAATCGGATACAGAAGACCTCCGGATCCTTCGCGTATGGTCTGACAGACGCGGACGACGGTTTGCCAGGGAAAACGCATCGACAGCCGACGACACACCAGAACGCTAGCAAGCCTAGTGGCCGCGCAATGTCAGAAACAAAGAGCACACAGCTTTGGAAAGACCGCGCCAAGTAGGTCACGCTTCTATCGGCTCGAAATTTTCATATCATCGATTTACCAATATAAGCTCCGAGTCACTGTACGGGGGCATTAGCAGTGCAGCAGTAATTCCGAGTCCGCTCAATATAACGGTGGGGCATGGATGTGGATGTGAGCTCCTGGGCCGTGCTCCTATCCAAGTGCGACGGATGTACCCTCCGTTCCGGCTACGACGTGATCTGTAAAGTATACTCTTCAATTGGCGGGCTGAAACCTGCGACTGCCGTCCGATGAGTATGTGGAACCCTCTACTGCTCCTGGAGCCTCTGCCACCGCTGTCCTACCCAGACTTGGATGCAGACCACACTTCGTCAGACAGGCCAGGTGCGGAAATTACTTCGCATATCGATAAGGAGTTTTATAGGCGCAATTTCAGAACAAGAACGCCTACGCGGAGAATGCAAGCGCGGCGGACCGCTAAATGTAATAACCACGCGCTCTTGTCCATATATGTTTTCTTTTCGGGATCAGTTGGGCTAGCGGAGCGCGACGTCTTCGTTTCCCGTCATGGAGCTACAAATTCGGATACAGAAGACCTCCGTATCCTTCGCGTATGGTCTGACAGCTCAGTAGACACGGGCAACCCAA